ATGAAACAGGGTCAGCGATTCCAGTAAAATTCTATTCTAGCAATGCCACATAGGCATCATACAAAATATTCTTACTATTCATGTATCCATCGATATTGTTGCATCATATATATTTTTTCCATGTTTCATTTTTTTTTCTCGATTGGATTTTCCATTTTGTTGCCTCACTTCAATCAAAATACATTCATTTAAAAGCGTTGGTGGTAAGCTCATATCACGATGAACCAGAAACATTTTGTGATTACTCAAAATAACACAATTTTTTTTTGTACACAAACATAGCAATGGTGTCGATAGAGGGTGTTGACAATGAGATTTGATATTTTTTGAAACGGTTTTTTAATCAGGTTTTCAATACTGATTGAAACTTACCGAATTCAATTTTTTTATTTGATTTTCAATGTACCGGCCTAACAGTACGCATCGCAACACGACCATTATCACATACATACAAAAATTTGTTATGCACTCGGATACCATTCATATCATTTACACTTGCATATATTACAACCGCTTTATGCAATGCACATTTGTCCAAGTTGCAAATTAAAATTTTCTTCCATTTGATAGGCTTTACTATCTCGACTTTGAAAGCACTTCATCCGCACTCAAAAATACAGACACACACACACTTATATGTCTGTATAGAATATCCTAAAGTGGAAAATTAACCATTTGGAATTCATAATTGATTATGTACGTGTGTGTGTATGTATGTGACTCTTTTGGCCCGAAATGAATTGCGATTCAGTGAATTGATGCGATTAGGTGAAAGAACACAGAGCGATTGCGGGAGAAAAAAAATACACACACTAACCGTATATGCAGTGTTGTATCCTTGTCGCTAACTAAAATGGCTAAATATAAATGGGAAATAAATCAGTTTGGAATGTACTAAATGCAAAAATGAATCGGGCCCCATACACACATTGGCGGACGAAAAATTTCATATCAATAGAAAAAGAGTAACAACAATTCACTGCTCTTTGCCTCCCCCTTCTTCGTCGAGATGTGTGTTGTCATTTCGAATCGATTGATAAATAGCAGGGATTGTTCCTCTGAGGAGGAGGAATGGTGAGGAGGAAAATGAGGAGGAGGAGGAGAGCGAGGAGGATCCTCCTCCTCAACTGAGGAGGAAAAGTTTTTTTTGCTCAAAGGGCTATTTTTATCACAAAAATATCATTTTTAGCTAAAAACATTTTCCTCCTCAGTTGAGGAGGAGGATCCTCCTCGCTCTCCTCCTCCTCCTCATTTTCCTCCTCACCATTCCTCCTCCTCAGAGGAACAATCCCTGATAAATAGTAATTAAAAATAAAAAAATAAATGGTAATATTGCACACTGAGCATATATATAAAAGAAATACGCCCGCATTCATTTGATAATTTCATGCAATGTAATCGATACATACATATTGTCATTTGTTGTCGTTCGTTCGCTATTTGTGTACGTATGTATATCGATAATAATTCATATTATTTATTGGCGTCTTGTTTGGTTGAAATATTGTGTGTAATGTATTACGATAACGGTGCTTCGGAACGTTGAATAGCTCAATATAGAAAATGTCTGAGTTGATCAAATGGGAGCGAGTGCGCGCGAACATCGCTCAATTGTCTAAAACGTCCACGATCTGCTTGATCATTCGACAAAAAATAAGCACACACACACAAAACAATTTCTGTTGCTGTGGCTTCCACTGTTTTGAGTTGAGTTTTTTTCCTTTCTCTCTCTGTGTATCTCCCTTTCTTTATCTCTCTCACACTCTTTCTCTCTTGATCGCTCATATGGCATATGTCATACGCTTATATCTCTATATATCACACACAAAATATTCATAAAACACATTTTCTCTTTCTTTCTTTTCTCATTTCGGCGTATAAATTGTTGTTGTATTTTCCTTGAAACTTTGCAAAACAATTCATGTGAAAAATATTTTTGCTATAAGTTAAAAGATGACAGAAAGAGAGTGAGAGTGAGAGAAAGAGAGATTCGAAAGAAAAAAAGTTTCGCGCGCCAATGAATTGAGAGAGTAAATATATATATATATGTTGAAAAAAGCGTATTGTGGAAAAATGCGGTAAATGAAAATGAAATAAGAAAAGAGAACAGAGCGAAAAAAATACACACAACGCATACACAGTACGATGGAAATGAGAAGCATACAAAAATGTTTGCGTATCACTAAGCGAACCGTTTGCAATGGTAAATTAAAATTTAAATGAACCAAACCTATTGTTCATCAAAAAAAAAAATTCCAATTATTCGTAAACATATGAATCGAATATATATTTCAAATTATTCACACATATCGTACAATATAACATGAATGGTTGATATGTGTCATGTTTTTTTTTCTCGTGTGTTCCTTTCTGTTTGGCGTACCGAAGCGATTTCAAGACTTCGCGCACCAATAACAGCAACGACAAAAATGTTATTATTTCGCGAAACAAATGTGTGTAAAGTGGCAAATTTTATGCCAACATATTGGGCGACACAATTCATACTCATTCTCAGTCACAATATTATATCGACATCATCGAATATCGTCGATAATAATAATAGTTCTCTTTTTTTTTTTGCTTCGCATTGGTGGTTTCCATTTGTTGTTGCTTCTCAAATGTATTCTGAATGAGTATCGATTTGTGTTGATTAAAACAAAAGGCCACATTCATTTTGATGAACGAGCAAACGAACGAAAAATAATAATAAATAAAGCGGGCAACGTAATGGATTTGAAAATAACATTTAATTTTTATGTGTTTTTCTTTTTTGAATTCATCTCAATCATTTCCTTGTTGATCATTCCATTGATCGATACGCATATTTTTTGTCAATTGTGACACACAACCAAGTGCTGAGATTCGAAATGTTTCGCCCCACACACACACTTCAGGATCATTGTACTGGTGCTGACGTTTGATGCGTGATCAAATCGTTTGATGCGTGTATGACAAAAGCAAAATTCAACGAAAATTGAAAAAGGGCCATCTTTCGCATCTATTAAGTTGTACATAGCGTATTATTTTTGGAATTGGTTTGAGAAACTGACTTGAAAGGATTGACTTGTGTCAACTTCCTTCAATTTTTTTTTTGTTTTTCTCGCCTTCTTCTGTTCGGTATAATGAATCAGAAGAGCATCACGTCAAAATCGTTCGGTGTGGCTTTCTATTTTTATGTGTGCAAATGACGGCTGTACGCACACCGCAGAATACAACAACAAAAATGAAAATCCATATAGATGAATATGAATAAAACGAGATAGAGAGAGAGAGGGAAAACGCACACAGAGAACATGTAACACTCGCTCGGATAGAATGAATGTTAAGGATGATGACATGACATCCGAATGAAACTTTTCTTTACACTACAAAAATATCGAAATGATTTAATGAAAAAGCACAATATTTTGACTAGAAAATCGTATATCGCATACGATGCCAGCCATAAAATTGAATGTTTAATGTGTGTGCGTATTTGTGTGCACGTCTGTTTGACATTTGGTTGTTTGATTTGAATCAAAAGCTGCAAATTTCCTTCGTTTTGCCAAAGTAATTTGTTACTTGAAACATTTCAAACTGAAACGACAGAGAGATCAAAAATCAACTGACAAATGAAAACAATAGGCAAATTTGAACAAAAATACAATAAGCGAAAAAAGAAGCGGTCGAGACGAGATAAAACAGTCACGTTTGACAATATAAATTAGTTATGGTGGAATATACTCTCGATTATGACAGTTTGTGGGAATGCTACTCATCGATTTATATATATATCTTGAAAGAGTTTATTTTAGCTCGCATCATAAGCTCGAATAAGTTATTGAAACATTTGCCATTTTTCAAAGCAAACTCAAACAGAAGATCGAATTTATTGATCCTGTCACAACAACTATCAGCAAATGTACTTAGCGAACTTTCTGAAGAGATTCGACAATTTTTACCAAGAATGTCGTCTTGTTGCATAAATCATTGCTTAAAGGAATATAAACGTTGTAAAATCAAATGTCCACTTTGCGATCTCATTGAAAGAAAAGCCGTGTGGATTTTTTTTCCTTTCATTCTGATTTGCCACAAAAATAAAATACTCCAAATAGCGTTGTGCGCTATTGACACATTGTCTCAATAACAGGAGTATAGATACATTGAATTTTGAATCAATTTATATAGTACATAAAAAAACACCGTAAAATGTTTGATTGTGTGTTTGTGCCCTGTTTACAGTAAATAAAGTAAAAAAGACGAGAATGGAAAGACTGTATATCGAAATCAATAGCACAAGAGAAAAAGAGTGCGCGAATGTGAGAAATACAACAAAACGAATAATGAGCGTGAGTTGAGGTGAAAATGAAAAAAAGCTGCTGTTTGTACACATATTACAGTTAGAAGCGAAAGAGGATCTTTCGACATATTACATTTTCGACTGTGTGGTTCTTCCCTCTCATTTTTTCGCTTTCAATAGTGCATTCATCATATTGAGTGAAACACGCACAACTCTGTACACACGTCCGCGTTTTGTTTGGTTTCAACTCATTTTTTCCTCTCGGCATTTTAAAGAAATTTTTATTCTGTGTGAACAACGATGTTTTTGACTTGATTGTATGTATATCTGTGTGACATTTTCGTGAAAATATAGGGAGACAACGTAAAAACAAATTCCAATTAGAAACACACCGATTATAAACAGTTTCAATTAGATACAGTGATCAGGAACGAAAATCTCGTATAAAATATACTCAAAAAATGTTGGCAAAATATCTTCTTATTTAAATAAAGAGGAAGATAGCGGTTTTTTTACTCTCAAATGACTTACGATATCAAAACCTTAGATGAAAAAAAAATTGACATTGACACCTACACCAAATGCTTCTTTTCCTTCTGTTGCTTCATGATGTTAACATTTATAGAAAAATGAATCGACATTCATTTATGAGTAATTTCAAACGACGAAGAAAAAAAAGCAATAATTTCACACCATTTTTTATTGCAATTTTCCATTTCAGGGCAGATAAGCAATTGGAATAGAAAAAGCAACAACAAGACGGGAGAAATAAATTGACATTGATTTTTATGCGGCAAATGATTGGATTGACATTTGAAACTATGAATTATTTGGCACTAGAATCAGCTTGAGTCTTGGTTTATATACATAGAAAAAAAAAAAACTAGAAACACGAGTTTGGAGAATATCGGCAAATATTGTTGCGTTTTCATTGAATAATTAACGCATACGCACATCTACTATTTGTCGAGACACACACAGTGCGCGGCGAAACACGAAGATAGCAACAACAACAACAACAGACATATATAACAAATTATAGATACACATTAACCGCCGTACGGCCACGATTAACTAACAACGGCACATATAGAACACGGAACAAACAAAAATAAATTACATAAGAAACACAATGAATCGAAAGTAAGCAAACGTGGTCATCGAAGATCAGTGGCAGTATATCAGCAGAAGATCGATTGACGACGGGCTACTGCGAACAAGACGGAAAGCTCTGTGTGTGTGTGCGTGCGTGTGTTCAAGATAGAAAAATAAGGAAAATTCAAATTTGAGATCGAGTAAAACACAGACAACAAAAGAATCGAAACATAAAAAATATACAAAGTGATATATGATTAAATGGAACAAGCTCTGCAGCTAAAAACAAATCACAAGTGCTAACTGAAGCCCAAATGGAATTTAAAACAAAAAGTATATATATATAAAACAAACCAATAACTAAATGAATGTACAAATCTACTTAAGAAAATAACCAATTTCAACCAATCGACGAACGGGCGAACTACAAATATCGACAACAATAGGCAGAAACGAGAACAAGAAATACAAAAAGAAAAAGAAATTATTAGTAAAACTAGCTGAAAAACGATAGCTCAAAATTACAATTGCGTTTCACACTTGTCGTCATCATCACAGTAAAATAAGTCAATATAATAACGTTTCTTTTGGATCTTCCTTGGTGTGTGTTATGCACATTTACAGTGTACGCACGTGCGTTTATATATTTACATTTTAATTGTTTGGCAACTCGTTGTTCCCGGACCAAGTGATCAAGTGAAACAACAGTTGAATGTGATTGGATTTTTGGAAAACGACAAATTGTACGGGATAAAAAAAGAGAAGGAGAAACACGTTTAACTTATATCATTGAATCGGTTTCCAACGATTTCCGTCGCATTGATTCGATTACGTGTTCAGTGTTTTTGCCGAGGAGAGCGAGCGAGAGTGTTGCATTGAGAAAGGAAGAGAGAGACATTGAGTGAGAGTGAAGGTAACAAGGGATAACTCCACATCAACTAACACCCCAGGATTTGGTTCGCAATAAAGCAACATTAGGCTGGCTCGTAACGGTGAAACGAGGGGGACCGAGTCTCCCGACACATCACCTGAAAACGCGGCCACCTGTTGGTGGACACCATTTGTTGCTATGGGTTGCTTTGGTTCAGCCGGATCAAAGCAAACCGAAACCAATAGTAGTACAGAAGATACAAAAAGTCAAAAACGTCGCAGCGATGCAATCACAAAACAATTACAGAAAGACAAACAAGTGTATCGAGCCACACATCGTTTATTGCTGCTCGGCGCTGGTGAATCGGGCAAATCGACCATTGTCAAGCAAATGCGAATATTGCACGTTAACGGTTTTTCGGACACAGAACGAAAGCAAAAAATAGAAGATATTAAAAAGAATATTCGTGATGCCATTTTGGTGAGTGCACATTCAATCAATTCATCGAAAGCGGACGAATTTTATCCATAACATTTTCTCCATTATCGCCTTACAGACAATTACCGGTGCTATGAGCACACTCAATCCACCTATAGCTCTTGAAAAACCAGAAAATCAAGCGAGAGTCGATTACATTCAGGATTATGCGTCAGGTACTGTATTTTCAATTCAATTTCTATTTCGCCAGCAACAGAGACAATCATTTTAAACATTATTACATTGTATATTTGACAACAGGGCCTGACTTCAACTATCCACCAGAATTTTATGAGCACACAGAAGAACTGTGGAAAGATCGTGGCGTTCAACAAACGTTCGAACGATCAAACGAGTATCAATTAATTGACTGCGCAAAATAGTGAGTACTTTGTTTTGTGTACTGTTCATACACCGCAAAAATGTATTCATGCAATTCAGTACAAAATTACTGGACACGTCAATTCTTCATAATATAATCATTAAAAAATAAAACAAATGAACTAATGACTTTTTTTCGTTTCGATGTAAACAGCTTCTTAGATCGTGTCAGTGTCGTGAAAAAGCCAAATTACACTCCTTCCGAGCAAGACATCCTGCGATGTCGTGTTTTAACATCAGGAATATTCGAAACTAGATTTCAAGTGGATAAAGTTAATTTTCAGTAAGTGTGATACAATTGTGTAGTTTTCTCATGGTTGCAAAATAAATATTGATGACCATTTGTCTTGTGTAGTATGTTCGACGTCGGCGGTCAGCGTGATGAGCGTCGCAAATGGATTCAGTGTTTCAACGATGTCACAGCAATTATATTCGTAACTGCCTGCTCTAGCTATAACATGGTTCTTCGTGAAGATCCAACACAAAATCGACTCCGGGAGTCCCTTGATTTATTTAAAAGCATTTGGAATAATAGGTAATTAAAATTTGCACAATTCAAAAACATTCAAAATTCCAGCAATCGTTCATCAAAATGTCTTTTTTTCGTTTTTCAGATGGTTACGTACAATATCGGTCATTCTCTTCCTGAACAAACAGGATTTATTAGCCGAAAAAATAAAAGCAGCTAAAAGCAAATTATCAGATTACTTTGCTGAATTTAATAGATATCAAACTCCCGGTAAGTCATTGAGAGTTTTTTTGTATATTTATTTAAAAATAATATTGGATTTATACGGGGAGTATACTAGGTCTGCTATCCAGCAAAATCCATAGTTAAAACAAATAATAAAAGTGCAATTGGAGTTTTTTCTTACGAATTTTTTTTATTTCATTTATTACAGGTGATGCACTGATCGAGCCAGGCGAAGATCCAGAAGTAATACGCGCAAAATATTTCATTCGGGATGAATTTCTGGTGAGTCAATGAAAAAAATGAACAATTTTTATTTTTTTGCTCCTAATTAAATTCTTCAGTATTCGAACAAAAAATAAATGCTCATAAAATTCAATGTTTCTTTCAGCGTATATCGACAGCCAGTGGTGATGGAAAACATTATTGTTACCCACACTTTACATGTGCCGTTGATACGGAAAATATAAAAAGGGTGTTCAATGATTGTCGAGATATTATTCAAAGAATGCATCTTCGTCAATATGAACTTTTATAGGTAAATTGAATTTTCAAAAAAAATGTGAATTAATGATGTCGGTTTTTATCCAGAGAATGAATCTGTCTAAATATTTAGTTTGATATTGTTATATCAGCGAATCATAAATTTTTCTATTCAAAATTTAAACAAAACAGTTTTTGATCGAATGAATTATGCTCGAATCGGCTGGATTCAATTTATTTTATCCAATTTCAATGTAAAAAAAAAGAGTAAAATGTGGTCTTTCCTTTCATTTCAGATAGAAGTACATCATTAAACTAAACTTAACTAACAAAAAAGAAAAAAAAATGAAGATGATGAAGAAATAAAATCGTAATTAATTTATAAATAAATGAATAAAAAATATATAAATAAAAATTATAATTATCATTGAATGTTATTGAGTGAAAAATTGCTATTGAGCATATGCTCTAGGACGTTCACGTCAAATGAGTTGCCAAAAACCACACTCGCACACACCAAGAGATAGATAGAGTCCAACGAATCACATTGATTTGCACATACAAACAGAAAGGAAAACAAGAATGGACGAAAATTTAAGAGAAAAAAATATTAGGAAAATTTTTATTGTATTTGACACGTTTGAATGTTGTGCGTGTGTGTGATTAAAAAATTGATTTTGTTTGGGATTCGATGTGCGGCTTGAGTGTGTTGTTTTGAATTTAAACTCATTTGGCTCGGGAACAGCTTTCGATAGTAATCGCTCAACGACAAATTTTCATTGCAATATAATATTTAATTTTAATTATTACTGAAAATAGAAATAAAATACACAAAAAAGATATATTTAAAGAAATTTAAGAGAAAAAAAATTATTTAAAAAAAAAACAAATGCAGGGTGTATCAAAAAAAGAGAAATAACATATACAACCACTTCAAAAGTTGCAAATCAATAAGGAAAAAAAAACCAACATAACAAGAAAAAGAAAATGGAATAAAAAATATTTAAAATAAAATATAAAGCAAATGTGTCAATCAAAGAAATCAAACCAATTAAGAGATTTTCATCGACAAATGCTGTAGTAACAAATACCAGAAGATTTAAATCACCAAATGCATGCAATAAAACAAAACAAAAAGTAAAAGCAACCAAGAATCAGTTTCTTCATCAGTTTTCATTTGATTGATCCGTGACACAAACACACCAACACCTACAACATACACACACATATACACACGGGCTGTTAATCAATTGTTAAACAAGACGCCGATAAATAATCAGTCTTCATCTTTCATTTCTTGACCTTCCATGCGCACAGTGCACAAAACAAAATATAAGAAAGAAACAGTTGCATTCAATTTCATAAGAAAGCACACAAAACACTCACACATACACAGCATTACCATACGCATTGAATTATACATTGAGAAAACAAAGACAGACGAGAAATGAAAAGAAATATTTGTTTGTTTGTTTGTTCAAATTTTATTTTTGTTTAAATTATTATTATTATTATATGATTTCGTAAATATGTTTAGTGTAAAAAGTGCCCGAATTGATGACGATGATGAACCATTTGCGTTACTTTCAATGTTCTCGATCTATTCCGAGTTCCAGTTTGTGTGTGTGTTTGTTTGTTTGTTTGTGTGTGTGTGTGTGTGAAATACCGTACCAACATCATATTGTTTTACGTTACATGTGCAACAATTGATACCCATCGAATGGTGTATCCAGATGAAAAACAATATTTTATAATAATCGATTTGTATATTGATTTCACAAACATTTATAGGCAGAAAAAAAGTGTTTGCATGAAAATTATTTAATGTGGAATTTGAAAAAGAGAAAGAGAAAAAAAATATGAATCAACGATACACAACCACTTAGACAGATTTATTTATGTTTGAGCAGCAAATTGAACCACATTCAAAGCAAAAATAATGAAAAAAAAACATACACACAAATGAACGGAAAACTCATGTTGTACATCGGAGTGAAAAACTCAAAAACGTACAAGAAAAGTCAAGCTCAGTGTAAAAAAAAATGATCGAAAATATTTAATTAGTTGACACTCAACGATTAAATTGCGCCAAAGAAAGGTCAATTTTATAAAACTGAATTCATACCGTTCATGTGAAATTCATTGAAAATGTTCATTCAAAAGTAAAAAAAAAATGAATTCATTTCACGTTGATTTAACATCAGTTTTCTTTTTCGTTTCCATTAAACAAGCATTGCAAATAGTCCACGAAAACAACACAAACCATAAACAATGGAACTTAACAGATTATCTATAAACCCGCCGGCCATTTGACAAAATGGAATCCTCCAGACACGGCATGTATTAAGTGGTTCAAATTGAATGTGAGCTGGTAAAAATATAAAAGATGTTAAAAAGTTCAATGCCTTGTTGCGTTGCCATTAAATTTGTTTATTCGTTTTAGTTTTAGCAGTGACATTGAAAATAGATGCATTCTAGTCCATTTAAAAAACCGTTTCAAAAATTTGTTATTTGAAAAAATTCAATGCACTCATACGTATATACTTCAAACGAAATTGTATCCCCCAATCAAATCGTCTATTTCATATATTTTGTTTCATTCGTCAATCTAATTCAATCATTAACCAAACCAATTGATTGATTTATGTATAAATTTTTCTTTTCTTTCTCGTCGAAAAAAGATGTTTAAATAGTCGTCACGGAATTATAAGACAAAAACAAGAATATCCAAGCTTGTACACCTTGTGTGTGTGTGGGTGTGTGTGTAAAATGTGATATAAACCGAGTCAGAGGGTTTGCTAAAAGAAAAAAATTCAGCATTTACCTCTCATTGACGCCAATGTGAAGTGAAATTTTATTTGAATTTATACCTATACATCTCTCGTATACTTGAACCAGTTTTGATTTTCTATTCAAGATCCGATAAAATGTGTCCATGCCGCACAACAAATCTAACTATGCACAATGAAATAATAAAAAAGAAAACAATGCTAGAATTTACAGCCATCATCATCATCATCACCACCACACAAACATTATGCAATTCTTTTTTTAGATACTTTTGGCATGTGTTTTCGCTTAAATTCCGAAAAGTTCGTTGACATTTTTTTGAAATTTCACACAAAAACGTGCGCACATAAAAGAACCAATAAGAAATTATTCAATCGTTCTGGCCAACATTCATTTCAACGATAGCCAAATTCAAAATGTCCATTTTATTTTTAAATGAAATTTTATCTGTCGGTCGTTCTTTTTTATGTTTGCTCTACGATTTTAATTTTCTCCAAAAGTATGAGTCAAATATATATGAATTAATTTTGATGCACTTGGTGTGCATATTTTGATAATAGATGGGTGTGAATATTAAAAAGCTGTCTCAATCGAATAAATAGAGAGAGAAAAAGAGTCATTCAATTCAAATTGGTTTAAAAAAAAAAAACATGAAACAGAAGCAAGTGAAATATGAATCATGTTTGTTCCGTTTGCTTTAAACAATGTCAGATCAAATTTAAAAGTGAATTTCGGTATAATTTCCTCAACAACAAGACCAGAAAAAAAAACACAAATAAACTCCAGTCGTAATATCCATCGTACACTCTCCCCCTTCAAATGACACACACCAAATATACAAACTCATTCATTCATTCGCTCACTCAATCACCACTGTGGATGAGACAGAGATGCGTTAAAAAAAACTAATAGAGAGGAACCTTCAACAAACGACATATTCAAACGAACGACAGTTAAACAATCATATTACATGCTGCTCAAACAGCACAAATATATAAATATCACTTCACACACAACATTTAAACGGAAATTAGACGATCTATTAACGCTGATTATTATTGAATGAGAGAGAGAGAGTGCGAAAGAGAGATAATATACTATATACAAAATAGAAATAAATAATAGAAACTCAAACCGAAATGAAAATGAATTGGGAAGCATTTTATTTTAGCCGAAAGCACATGAACGATGTTTTATTATTATTCTTATTATTATTATTATTATTTTCAGTTATTGTTGTTGTTGTGATTTTTATTTAATCTAATATTTTGTTCTTGACAATTGTATTTTCAATCTATTGAGAGTATTTATATACAAACGAAGTAATAAAAACAAAAGTTGCAAAGAATAAAAGAAAAGAAACAAATGTAATTTCGGTGCCATGTTGTCCGAAGAATCTCATTGACTTTTTCCCCCCATAAATTGCTAATATCCAGCACCTGTGCAATTTATTTTTTGTCGTTTCTATTAAATTATGTAAACATTTGCCATTCAATTGAATTAATTTATACATTCTCTGAAAAATTGAATTAAGTAAATAATTTTTTTTGTTTTTAAAATTAAACACCAGTCAGTCGTAGTAGTCTTTACTAAATTTCAATTTTACGCCATTGGACACTCTCTCCACACACACAAAGAAAAAAAAATGAGATAACAAATAATTATGAATTAGAGACAAAATTTGATCACCGAAATCAGTGCATCTCACTTCATGGCCACGATTTTTTTTTTGTTAATTTACAATCCAAATGGAACTACGTCGATTATATTTAAAGACTTCATTGACACAAACTCAAATATAAAAAGAAAACTGCATATTTTCATATTAAACAATTATACATATACAAAGCAATCAAATCTCAAAGAGAAAAAAAATGCTGATCTAAATAAGAGAACAAAAAGCACATTAATTAAAAAGAGAAAAAAAATTATGAAAAGAAACAATTTTACGAAAAAAAAAACAAAAGTTAAAAACTTTAATACAATTTTTAGATAAAAAGAAAATGAAAACGATGATAAGAATTGAGAAAAAGTTAAAATAAAATGAAAATACCGAAATGGTGAAAAAAATTGACTAGTGAATCCGATGATTATTCATCATCGTTAAACAAAAGAAAAAAAATATACACAGATTATTATTATTATTAATTTAAAACAAAAAAAAAACTTTTTTATTATTATTATCATTATTACTATTATTATTGTTGAACATGATGCAACCGAATGAAACGTTGTGTGCCAATCATTCCAATCAATGATTATTTTCTTTTGACTGCAGTGACCCGTAAGATGTGTGCATTAGTTTTTGTAATATCGCGAAGTGTCTTTTGAAAATGCACTTCATATCTTACAAAAGCGATGCTAATCTATCACGAAGCAGCTTTTCAAACATGTGAAAATTTCGACAGATTCAACGATGTACGATAGAAATAGACGTCATTTTCTCATAGAGAGTGAACACGAGACAGCACAAATGTGGAGAAGAAATCTGTATAGAAAAAGAAGTGGAAAAAATGAGATGGAATCGATGGGAAAAACAAATTATGACAAAATTACATTGAAACACAGGAAAATGGTTGATAGGTGATTTGTCAAAATTGAATTTCCTCCTATTTTCTTATCGCTTCTTTTTTATTCTTCTTCTCTTCATTATGCGGTTGATATAATGCCATTACTCTCGTTTCATAACGTTCATTGAAAGAAAGCTTAAGAGTTTGAGACGTGAATCAATTCATAAAACTGCATTTTTGACACTTTTTCCATGCCCCAATGAGCTAATGAGCTTTACCTTAGGTAGAAATACGTTCTATTTTCTCGTCAGTTGGATTGTACGATGAGATTAGAGAAAATCATTATTTTTTAGAGACAACATTTGACATGGAGCACACAATTATATTTGTTCGGTTGCATGGTGTATTTATTGTTTGATGTCAGGCTCAGCGCAAAAGAAAGCGACGAAACGAGAAAAGAAAATATATATATATAAAATGATCATCCATTCTTTGTGATACGTTTGAGTGGTTTAAGTCTCAATAAAATACTACTTAAAAGTGACACACTCAGATGAGAATGAAATACATTTTAAATCTATGCACACATGAAGAAAAAATAAACACATACACACAGACTAAATTGATTTAGTCGAAAAACATGTGGAATAAAGTGAGTCAATCAAATATACAATAATATATTTTTATTATTTTGTTTTTGTTTTTAAATGCTTTAGTAGTATGCTTCTTTTTGCACTGATGCTACAGAAATCTTTATAGGTGAAAAGAAAAGAGAGCAAACGATTGATAGGCAAAAAAAATCTCAATACAAAAACCGAATACACACACACACACTCCCACACAATCAAAGTAAAACCTTCGATCTAAAATGATTTAATAGAAGAAACACATAATTCGCAAAAAGTAGAATGAAAATGATTTAAAAACCAATTACAAATAAATAAATCTTCAAGTAATAATAAATACAGAGTAAATACAAACAAAACACACACATATATATACAGAGAATAAGAGAAGAAGCTATTTATTGTAAATACATAGTAATGTATATAATAATATATTCTTTTATTTTATTTTATTTTATTTTGCGTTGTTTTTATTTTATTCCGTGATCCCCTGACCCCCTGCATTTAAACTGTTTTTCTATTCCTATTTTATTGATGTCTCTTCTTCACTTCTCGCCCAAATTACAGTGCACATTATTCAACTCCGATTCAATGGGAGAAACTAAAGTGTCCTGTCGTTTGCTCGTTTTATTATCAGTTTTAATTTGATAAATTCCGTTTACAAAGCAAACAAAAAAGCATACTATTTTTTTCAAGTATGTTGGTTTGTTTCACCCCATCTTTGCGTCTATTCTTCACATTCATCAGCTGAAATTGAAAATTCAATTGATTCTTTGCTGTTCACACGATGTAATTGAAATCGATTTGATACACGCACAAAAGCATCCACTCAAATTCCCAAACGTTAAATGGCTCTTTCCAAGTTGAACATTTCAAAATAAGATTGAAAAAAGAACATTAAAAACAAAAGAATCACGAAAATACAAATGAATATATAATATAAAAAAAGAACCAAATCTTCGACGAAGATTCTTCGTATTATTTTCTCGGTCATGAGAAGATAAAGAGAAAAAAGAGAGAGAAGAGAGAGAGAGAGGAGAGTTAAGTCTACTAGTTTAAATTTTTGTTGACTTGAAGCAAAATGCGTAGAAGAGTATTTGCAGAACGAGAGAAGAAGAAGAAAAAAAAGAATAACATGGAAAATCTAATCAAAAGCAATTTTATTGTGCATACAATTTTTGTGACCAATTATTAATTTTTATTAAATGATAAACAACGTCATCTATATGGAATTTTATAGTCAAATAAATGATAAAGATATGCGGGATGTTTTGTTGTTTTTCGCACATGAGAGTAGAAGTAAAACAGTTGATTCGTTTTCAGATACACATGTTTGCCAATTTAATGTCGGTCGTTCACCGATATTCAGGTAAACAGTGCCGTGTAAGACAGTTCTATGCTCTTCATTAAATATGCAAGCATTGGGTCAATACCGAGAATGAATATCTGGAAAATAAATAAATAAAATAAAAGTGCACTGAGCATCGCCATTGAATGTCTAATTTTGTATTCGAAAAGACAAAAATAAAAGGTTAATGAAATTCCGGTCAATCACACACACAAATTGAATCCAGAGCGAAACACACATGTCCTTGTGTAAGCGTGCGATGAACAGCGAACAATAAAAGCCACTCATACGATTCTTTGTATCGCCTGTGAAATATACAAAGCATTTACTTTTTCTTTACATCAAATACGATCGAATGAAATAAATTTTTAAACACAGAAATCATTGACATTCTAGTGCGATCTACTGTTCTAATTTTAATTATATTTTTTATAACTTTCCGTACTTGGCTCTTTATTTCGTGTCTTAACAAACACAAACAAAAGATAATTAACAAAGAAAAATGCATACATTTAATGTAAAATTAGAGATTAGAAATAGTTTTTCATGTGTAAAAACAAATTAAAAAAAAAAACATTCATATTGTACGAAAAAAAAGAGTAAAGGATGAAAAAAATAAAAGCAAAAAAAAAAAAGATTCCAAAACGAAAATAAACAGAGGAAAATCGACATTAACATTTAAAAATATATTAAGAGAATTTATCACACGCAGTTAACAAATGTGAACTTAAATTGTGGACTAGAGAATAATATACATTTGCCCACATTCAACAGACTCTCTTTCTCTCTCTCATACTCATAGAAAAACTCCAAACACACACACTGAAAAACACAAACACATACAATGTATAATCAACTTTCTCATCAAAGACACCCAAAACCAAAGCTCAAGAGAACAAACAAACAAAAAAAAATGGGAGAAGAAGAAGTAGAGGAGATGGAGGAGGAGGTGGCGAAAAGAAAAACATAAATAACAAATTACATCTAAATTGCAATGCAAAATCAAATCAAATAAGTCAAGATTGTAAAAACAACAAACAAACTGAACATGAATAAAAGTTTAAAAATTAGTTCACTGTGCGTGTGTGTTATTGACTTTATGGCAGATTTTCAAATTTTGTCTTCTTCTTTTTGCAGTGAATAATTAGCGGTAAGTATTTGATCCAGTCAGAATTTGTCTCTATAGAACCATCTAAAAATGGTAAATGGCGCGCGAGATGTAAAAATGGTGAGTCAAATATCTTAAAAACAATTTAGCTGTCAAAGCCATTTATGCCAAAAAAGCTCAACCTCTGAATTTAATCTATTTTAATGCGAGCGAATTTTTCTATTACTTCAACGAACGGTTGCTACTTCTCGCAAAATATATATTCCCACAAAAAAATCCACATCATTCGGCTTTCTCACTCGTCAAAAAGCAAAGTAACTGAAAATGTGTCAATATTACTACTATTCACACAATGCCATTGATATTACGAGCCACACATAGATATTACGTGAACATTACATTCTGTAGCTATAGCACATCAGCTGTAATGGTTTTTTAATGTGAAACGTAAGCGACAAAAACACTTCTGCAATGGAATTGTAGACGCGAAGAGGGCGACGTTGTTATATGGACTGTTAAATAAAAAAAAAAATCGCCCGTTTCATTGGTTTTAATGGCATTTCAGCACGTTTCAAGAGAGTGAAACCCGCTTTTGCTGAATCAAACCGAATTTTTGGTTTTGCTACAAAACTGGTTTTGCTACAATGGCTATTAACTTCCCAAAAAAAAGATGAAAAAAAGCACAAATACACTCTCATTAAATCGAAAGGCTAGAAATTTCAGTGCGGCACAACATTTAATCCCGTTAAACTTTATCATTTATTAATGAAATTTGAGTACTGTACACACTTAGTTTTAGAGTGTCGAAAATTAGTTTGAATTGGACCATTTTCCGGCCAGTTTAAACGAACCTTAATTTAAATGTATGTTGTGTGCTTTGAGATTTGTCATGTCATCCAGAATTATTGATGCTCATTGGAAAAAATGATGAGTATGTCCGTTTGGGTTTTAACATGACAGCGTGCACTTAATTATACCAAGCATATTTTATTTCGTTGGTGCTCAAGATAAATACATCTATAACACTTAATACCTTCTTTCACGAAAGAATGTGGCGATTTAATTCGGTTAATTTTCTTCCAGCAGTGGAGCAGTAACATTTATTTTTAACATTAAATAATTCAATTACATGTGGACATTCAACTACAATCTGAACCTGAAATTTTCATAGAAACAAATGAATCAAAGCACATTTCAATTTATTTATTCTTTTATTGGGGGACGTATCAATTATATTTTTATAAATCACGTTTAAACATCAAGTACAGTAAAACCTGTCAATAATGGAACCTGGGAATAGTGGAATTCTTGTCAATAGTGGAAAAAAAATTTCGCCGTTGAGCTCTCCCATATAAAATGACCTGGTAATAGTGGAAAATTGTAAAAAAACGCTCACCCCCAATAGTGGAAAAAATTTGGGGAAAATTCTTTTGATTTGCTAGGGTTTTTGAAACGCGAGAGAAATTCTTTCGATTTGCTAGGGATTTTAGAGCGGTTTTTGGAAGTAAATTTTTTCCCATTGGAACACTCCTTTTGCTAGGATTTCCCATACAAAAAATTCTTTTGATTTCTAGGAATTTTTTCTAAAATCATCCCCTGAAAAATTTTGCTACCTATATAATGATAAAAATATGAATGAATTTTTCCTTTTTTTCAAATTAACCCTCAATAACGGAAAATCATTTCTGAATTGGCAAGAAAACCTGTTATTAATGGAACCTGGAAATAGTGGAATTCTTGTCAATACCCGTTCGAACAATCGGCGCCTTTTGAAAGGCGCACGCACCATTTCTGCGCCTTTTAATGAAATGACGAGAAAAAGGATAAACGAGCACATCGTATGATTCGTATATAAACAGCGTGTACGAAAAACAGCATAGTAGGCGCAGATTCGTTACATTTTTGGTATTTTTTGTTCCTCTTTGTGCGGATCTTCGCAGCACAATGGAGATTCAAACGAAGAAGAAGTATGGTCTTAGCATTTTAGCATAAGAAAAATCGAATGAAATACGAGTCATACGATGTGTTGCTTATTCTTTTTCTCGTCATTTCATTAAAAGGCGCAGAAATGGTGCGTCAAAAGGCGCCAATTGTTCGAACGGGTAGTGGAAAAAAAAATTTCCCCATGGGATTCCGTTATTGACAGGTTTTACTGTATTTTGTTCCTGTATCTTCTTGGCATCCATGTGATAGTGTCCATGTAGGTTTGCTTAAAATTTTCAAATGATCATTGATTTCGTTCATTTTTTCCTCATAATCGAAATATTCTTTTTCCGTAAAATGCAACAATTTTTATGTATTCAAATTTGATGTTGTTTCATCAAATCGTTCGAACATTTTCTTCATATAGTAACTTCCTTTACAAAAAGTCTGTCGTAACCTCCGATTTGAAGAAAATGATCGCCGTAAAAAAAATACTCATTGGTGCCATTGATATGCTCACGGGGATTTATCACAATTATGTGACGTTCAAATATTAGTTTCATGGCATTTTCGGCTATTTTCATTTGTTGTCCAGCATTTTTCGTCGTTTATAAGCCAGCGTTGAAAAGAATCGTCTCAATTATATCATTTGGCAGTGCATCAGTCACAGCCTCACATTTGATTATCCAATTAAAAAATTGTTTTGAATGCAAATTTTTCCTTGCGGCGAGAAAAACACAAAAATATACTAATCCATGAACAATTGCCACAATCAACCCGTACGAAAATTTCATTTATTTTTAATTTTTAACGAAACAATTTCATCCCTATCAAGTCTATCTAAACCTTTCTAATTGCTTTTTATACATTTCAAATACTCTATATCTGGATCAGAGTGGCCACACACTTATTTTTCTAATAGAAAAATAACAATACTCATGTGCGACATCCTTTTATTCCTACACGTGTCGTAAAATGATCAAAAAAATATGATTTGTCATCAAGTGAATTCTAACCATGGGGACAATTTTTAGTAGTAATATCTTCTTTAGTATTCTCCTTGAATTTCTCCTCCTCATTTTGACTAACTTATCCAAGATTCTACCAATAAGAAATTTTGATTTTTTTATAGAAAACAGTTCTTGATTGCATATTTTCGTATGATATACTCAAAAACAGGTTCCAAAAGTGTCTATGTTCTACGCCACACTAACCGCTCAATGTACCAATACATTCAATTCCGCCTGATAGATTCGAATGTCATCAATTTCATCCATGCTAAAATGATTAACGAGCTTGCGCTCGCGAATGCTGAAGATAACGAGAGAGCGATAAAGGAAAAAAACATTTTATGTGACCATTAAAAATGTAAATGACGAGAACGGATGTAATAAATATCACGGAATAGGGTCATCATGCTTATCGGTGAATGTTCGGTTAGAACATTTAACGCCATAACCGATACAATCACAGTCCAGATTGGAGCAAATGGGCTGATGCGACCTGCTGGACAAAGTAGTGGAAGAGAGCTTTAAGCATACATTCATTAATTTGGAAATGTATGTGCATATCGTTTATGGATTACAATTTGCCCTTATTCTTCCTAACATTCGTTAAATTCAAATTTTTACACATTTGTTCAGTGTTCACACACACATTCGCACATGACGAACATGAAATGGATACTAGACAAAGACAGACACACATCGAGCGAGAGACAGATCGTCTATTTTTCAAATGGGGCCCGTTACATGTGCAAATTCACTCAGTTCATTCAGCGACCGTCACAATTCAATGACTATAAATTATGATTATAAACACACGAAACGATTTATATGCATATTAATTTTTCAGCTGAACACAGATATGTAACTGAGAACATTGAATTTTACTCGATCGGGAAAAAAAGCGTATACCTTTCAAAATGCGCTCATACCTATTTGTTTTTAGAGACAATAAAAGGAAAAATCAGACATGTTTTTGGAAAAATTAGTATTGTTTCAGCTCAAAAACATATAAATTAGTACAAAGATCATGATTAAATGTAACTAAAATAGTTATTATTTTTCGGCAATCGAACACAAAATCAGAAGCTATCGTTGGATTGTTTAATTTATCCAATTTAGTTTCTTTTTTTAAATATCATGTGACTTTTAATAGTATTATAGACGGATCAAAATCAATTCGACGAGAAGAAAAAAAAATACAAGCCTCAACTCGTTTTGGATTGCATGCTACTCTTTTAGTATATCAGTTACAAACACTACCGAAAAAACATACATACGATGTGCGGTCATGTTTCATTGACTGTCACCATGGGTATTTCGCTGGCACGTGGTTTTTTCCTCTCTCGTTTTACCATTCGACAGTTTTAAACGAAATACACATTTTCTGCCTTTGGATATCCGGTTGACGTTCCAAATTTATTCTTGACTAGACACACGGGACGCACATTCAGAATTGTTTCGCCGATTTAGTATATTAATTGAATGAGTGATTTACGCTTCATTTTTCGTTTTTATTGGTTTCG